CATTTCATGGAAAGCTTTTATTATTTGCTATAATGTAAGCACCAGTAAAACGAAAATAATCTAAACCAAAGAAAAACGTTTTTACATTAAGTCTGTTACTTGTTATTTAGGTCTCTCATGCTGAATTTCTCCCAGATTCATGAAGGGTCTGAATAGGACATGCAGATCTAGGCTGCCTTCTGGATTGAAATTAGGCTGAAACAAGCTTTGGTTTCAACAGAAATAGACAGGGAGTGACAGCTTAGTCACAAATCGCGTACTTATCGGGGAGTTGCTAGCAATTTCTTCAGAGGTGTTGTATCACCCTGCTAACTTCTTTGCTCAGTTCAACCGAATTCATGGTAGAATAAGAACATGATCGTTGTAAAGTCCATGGGACAGTACCCAAGCAATTGCTCTTCTCCTAGTTACACAATTCACAACCATCTCCACAAGACTCTGGTCTTGTAGTAATCTTACCCTGCGAGTGATTTCTGACAGATTTCAAGCTGTTCTAGTAAATGTGGTAGTAACTGTCCCATGATTTCATCGCCAATGCAGCACTGAACAACATTAGGTATTTCATGAGCTCGAGTCATGATCCTCACCCAGGATTTATCAATGTTAGAGAAACGCTTTGCTTCCTGTTGAAACATGACAACGAATGTGGAAGGGAAGAGATGGAGGAAGGAAGAGAGAACAGGGAAAAGGCACTTGTTTGCAGAATTGGCACCCAGTAATCTCACTAGTAAACCTATGTCCAACTTCTAAGGATTTTTTACCTTAGAAAAACACAAATCTTTCTGCTTACACAATACAGCTTATTTTATAATTCACTGTCCAACCTGCTGTTTTCAATCATTCTTAGAGAAAATGACAAAAAATTCATTATGCTTGAATTGCGTTTTTCAAATTTGAAGATTTTTTTCTAAAAGCTAATTTGTCATGTGAGAAGCTATGTAGGAAAGTTTAAGATAAGGATTCCTAGGCTAGTGGTAGGTCCTACTAAGCTAGCCTAACTAGGCTAGGCTACTACTAGGCACAACACTTAAATACACATTGGTTAACAATTTTACAATCTAGAATAAAAAGATCAACAAGTTCACACAATTTTATTATTCTTTCTAATTCGTCACTTCTGTTGGCATTTTTTACCTAATTGCTTAGCAAGACTAGTTTTAAGTACCAAAAAAAATGAAGTTTATGATACTACATCAATTATGACATCAAATTTAAGTTTTATTCTTAAAATGTAGAAAACCAAACTGTAAAAAGGTATGTCTGAAAACCTTTGGAAGCTGCTTTGCTATGTCACCGCCAACAAAAACAGCTTCTAAATAAATCCACAAGTTCTGCACAGTCAACCAGTTCTCAATGATATCTGTTGCATTGGAAAGATAGTGCACCCATTTCTGAATCTGTGTCTTGAAGGGTGTGTTGTATCTAAAATAAAAAGAAGACATTTGCTTTATTTCAAGAAGGAAACAAGTGTCTTGAAAGCCAGCACATTATTCACAAGGGTGAGGAACAATTTTGCTGCTTGTATCTTTGTCAAGTGAAAGCATAAAAACCTACACTTGACTCAATTCAGCTAGTTAGCAGCTATAAACCGAACCAGTTCCAACTTGATGCTTTGTACACTTGGTGCGTAGCACAGCTCTGATCCAACAGAAGCTGAATAGGAGCAAGATTTAAACTTCACTCTAAGTGGTCTCAAAAAGGGCTACGCAACATCTTGAAAGCTGCAAGACTCCCAGAGATCCTTATCAGCTGAACTCTTGCTTTTGAACATCTTTTTGATGATCAGGTTCTGCGTTCCTTATTTTATCTATGGGCTTTGGTATGTGAAACCAGACAAACTGAAGCTCATTTTAACTGAGATATTTGCACCTTCAGCATGAAGCAGTGACCTATCATATCACAGAGGGCAGAGTAGCAGTGCCTATAATGCCCATAGCACGCCCACCACAATCGGGAATGTTCCCCTTTATACTTGTCATCAGTTTCTTGCACTGATGAAAACTGTCCAGTTGGTTATTCAGGAAGTCTGAACCAACTTAGTGGAGGGATACAGACAATAGAGGGATACAGACAACAAGAACTAGCCCATGAACAGTTCAAGGACAAGCAAGCTCTTAGTTTCTATCTAGATGTTTATTTTCTTTCTCCTCTTTGAAAGATAAACAATTTGTTCAATAAAACAAAGCCTCTTGCTGATATTTTTATCTCCCCCCACCCCTCTTCCTGTTACCTGTTACTCATGAGAGAGCCAAGAATCATCAAGCTGTCCTCCATGGAAGCAATTGTTTCTGATGTGCTGTCACCTCTTAAAAGAAGTTCCCCACGGGTTTTAAAGTTTGAGAATACAAATGTTTTGCTGTCCCATTCAGCTATCACTTGTTTTAACTTCTGCTCAATGTCTCTCTCCTTCACAGCACTTATGCAGATATCCTTTTAAATAAACAGGATGACAAAACAAGCTATGAATGGTTCAAGTCTCTGGTATATAAGTCTAACTCATATTTTCTTGAACCCTAGTAAGGCTGACAAGCAACTATTTATCAAGTGGAAAGATCTACAGGCATACAAACACCACAGCTAATAATCCGTATACCATATCACAATATGGCCAGCTTTGGGGGGAACAGAAGAATAATACCATGACTACTTTGCATATCTTTAATGTTGCAAAGCAAGGCACCCTCACAAATTAACTCCTGGGCCAAGCTACATGATTTAAAAAGAGGAGCTGACACCACAATATATTTGGGAAATTATTTTATACAGAAAGCTGAAGTGATAGTCCATTTCTCTATTCTTCCTTTAGAAATATTCTATTTTCCTTCTCATTACTGTTACTCCTATACTACTTGAACAGATTATTCTGTTTCATGCATCTGTTTCTCTTCCTTTACAATACCTCTATTTCCTCTTTATATCTTAATAGTGGAGCTTCCATTATATTCCTCAGTTTGAATGTTTCACTTTCCACATCAAAGTTGTGTTCAGTGAGATCTGTAATCCGCTTCCAGTGCCGAGGCATCATTGCTTTACTAGACATACGCTCAAGCAACGGGCAACATTCACTGAAGTCCTCAATGGTCTTCTTCAGGTCAAAAAAGGCTTGCCATTCCTTTACACCACGAGGAAGCTTACGGCATCTACACAGAAATAATGCAAGCTTTTTCAAACAGTTTCAAATATTCTGTTACCCATTTAACCACAAAATATGGTTTTAACAGCAGACCACATACCTTCCAAATTCAGGTTACCTATATTCTGAAGATTCTGTATGTGACTCTGCACATGAGAAAATCTGTTTCCAGTGTATTTTATTGACTGATAGCTGGGCAGCCACCTATAAGCTCCCCTTAGGGAGTGTAGCTCCATAATTCTAATGCATTTTGTCCAAGCAACCTTCAAAAACAACTGAACTGCTTTACATCTTGATTTCTTTCATCTTTTGGTGACGCTCATGATAATCACTGCTCTAGAAAAAACCTTGTTCCCCAGAACATGCAGGTTTCATTTTTATAATCATTTGATTCCTGGTTTGAAGAAAAGTTCAGCTTCTATGCATGCATGCAATATATCCCACTTTGTAGGAAAACTATTCAGCAATTCACTAACTTGCCTTAGACATCTACAGTTAATCTGTCTCTCATGAATAATAATATTACAACAAACAAGTGAAATTTCCCTTCATGAACAAAATAAATTGCAATTTTAACATATATTCCAACCTCATCAAATAAAGTTAACCAAGAAGCTCTCTAAGGAACAATAATCCTCAACATTCAGAGTCTAAACTAGCTCCTTGATCATACGAAGTTGGTAATAGATATATTTTTCAACTGAAATTCATGTTTTTCATGTTTCAATGAACAAATACATGCTTAGATATGATTATTAGTGCTAGCCAATTATAATCATATTCAAGAAGTAACAGAAATATTGTAGGCATCTTTACCACAGCAGCAGTTTCTCACCTGTTCTGAAACTCCAGAAGTTCACTGTTAATTTTTACAGTGTCTAATTCTGACCAGAGAATGTCATAGTAGCCACTGACTGTGTCAATAACATTGTTATATAGATTATAGAGTTTCTGTAACAGATTCAGTTGCTTCTTTATTTCAAGCAGCTGAGGATACCGAGTAACAGGCAAACCAAAAAGATCTTCCCCATCAGTATAAGTAATATATTTCCGAAAAAGATTATCAAATCGATTCTAAAAAATAAAAAAGTAAAATATTAAATTAAATAAAATTAAATAACTAAATATTCAAGATCCAGCATTATGCTTAGAGCTGCATTAGTGACTAAAATCTAGTAAATACTAGAAAGATATACAGGAGATACTAACAACTTACACTGTCAACAGTTTTGTCAACAATTTTCATGAGAAAAGTAACTTTTAGTTAGCTTGGAGGCACATCTTCAGAAGATGACAGGGAGGCCATTTCATCCATGTGGAACAGTGACAGAACAATAAATGCTAACCTTGCACTTGAAAGAGGTGAAGTATGACATGCAAAGCAAAGAAAGATGGATGCAGCAAATCCTATCCCTCCAAGCATCCTGTGCAATTCTTTTATTGAAGGGTTGAAGTAAGAGTTACTACCATTTAAACAGCAAAGAAAAACAAAATTTAATTGTCAATTGCAATATAACTGAAGGAACATAGTAGGAAGCCAAATGAATAGCACTATGGGAAAAGGAAAACCATTAAAAGTCATCATTATAGGAACAGAAGTTAATCATGGTACAAAGAAACATTTCAACATGAAAAATAGTCAGTTTAAATGGAAACCTGTAATACTATTAAGAAAAATGAGGGAGAAGAAGAAAAGAAGACTGGGCAGAATTGTATTTGTGAGGAAAAGACACAATAATGAACACAAGAACAGTCGAGAGCCAAATACACTAAACTTGAGAGTCAGCTCTCAGGAGAATACTTGACTCTAGTATTTATTATCTATGCAGCCTTTCTCTTAGCTCCTTAAAAAAATAAAAAAAAATCAAATTTTAACCAGCATTCCTTGCAAATGCATAGAAAAATACCAACTTAGCTTTCATCAAGTTAAAACAGACTTTGCCCAATCAGTAACCCCATGTACCAATGAAAATTAGTTCAACTACTCTGATTCATTCTGAGAGACTTCAAGTGTCAGCTTACTTGCAATAAGTATTAAGTGATGTCTTAGAATTAACAGTACCTGAAACATAGTAAGCCTGTCACTGGCTTCCTGAGGCTCTAAACCAACCACCATTGGACCATTCTAAAAATAAAATAAATTTTTAAAAAATTAAATATTAAATAGTGAACTTAGAGGGTGAAAATAGCCACTACTTATTTCTAATCAGCATTTTCTAAATGCTAAACACAAAAATTTTTTTAATTATTCCATCCCTATGTCACATAACCACTGAACCAAGAGATCACAGTTACCTGCTAGAACAAGCACTTTATTAAAAAAAAATAGGAGAAATAAGAAAGAAGGCAATTAATTGTCTTTTTAATACAAAAATTTTCCTAATAGTGCAAAGCTAGGCAATGGTAGCTCCTTTTTCAAGTAAAAATCAGCATTACTTCGAAAATAATACAAGCCTTGCTCAGTTGGACTCATTCACATTCTATTGAGAAGGGATATAAGAGCTTGTCATTTGTACTTACACCCAAAATCAGGAAATGCTTCCTACATTCTAACATAATTTCTCATTAATACCAATCTTCACATTTGCTCATGCTAACTAGCTGTTTATCATAAATCCTAAATGTCTCAAGTCTTAATCTTTAAGAGCTGATTGCCAGCATTACGTACTTTAGTCATATCAAAAAAATAACCAAAGCCTGCTCTGCACTGAAACTCAAATACCACATTAACAAGAATAAACAAGTTCTTCAGACAGTAGAGTCACATCCCATTAATTAGCCAACTCCACAATTTTTCCATGCTCCCACTGCTCCTCAAAAAGTCCTCTAATACAATACAACACAAATACTTGCCTGATCATAATCTGAATAGAACTGTGTACAGTCTTCAGAAAAAGTCTTCACAGTGCTAATAAGCTCTCCTCTGAAGTTTGGCTGCAAAGCAATGAGCTCATTCTGCACTTCATTTGCACGAACTAGCAGTTTCTCCCAAGTGTAGTGCAAAGTGTCCACCTTCTCTGTCTCTTCCTTGGCCACAAGTAAACCATATTTGTTTAACATAGCATAGGATTCCTGTCAGAAGGTTGGATCAAGATACAGAAAATGGTAACTCAAGTTAATTTTACACATATATGTATGCTAACATCTTAAATTTTTAAGAACAGAGAATGGTTTGTTAGGAAAAGAAAAACCGTTCTTTTTCCATAGCAACTATCACAATCTGGCAAACCAATCTCAAACTGAAAGAAACATCAAAATGAAAACTAGCTAGTTCTTCTTAACTCCTTACCTTTCACATAGCATTCTGCTTTCTGACAGATATTTGTCCTAGTGCAATCTGCCTCTCTAAAGTACTATTTACAGTTAAAGTACCCATTAAGTCTACAGGCTTTAGTTTTATTGTAATGAGAATATTTTTCTGATCCACACCTTCAGTTATTGGCTATGACCCAAGCTGAATATTGTGGGAGGTGAGCCATGAGAAAGCATCTAAGCATATGCTTTCAAGTAACTGAAGCAAACAAACTTCTATTCCGTAAAGACCTTCATATTCTACTTCATGTTTTCAACTAAAAATAATTAGGAAACCACATCAAAAGTTACCACAACTAATATGTTGAAACTCTTTCAAATGTTATAACTATTCATCATTCAGAATTAGGAATCTAGTTAAAAATCTACTTAACATCCCTTTTTTTCTTAGACCATTGATCTCCATCTGTACTACCAATGTATAAACACTCCACGTAATGAAACCCTCAGTCAAGTTTCACAAAAACATAACTGAAATTCAGTTACTGTAAATTAGCATAGGGCAGGGTAGCAATGACTCTTGCGGTATAACAGTTCCATCTGAAAATTTTTTTATAAAGTGGAATTATTTCCATTTCCATTTTCCAGTTTGATCAAATTGCAGACAAATTGCAAAAATGGAAACATAACTGTCTGCCACTCCACTATGTGGAAAAGACATCAATCTCAGTTACAAAAATCTGAAGCATAACTCCATATGCCCAGGGACTCGAGGCTCCTGCTTGCAGAACTGGAAGTTCAGGAATCCTTGGCTACCACGGCTTTTGCCTTGGCTCAACATCACACGGCAAACCAGAATAGGTCTTAGCAGGAACTTCCAAAATGTTATCTCCTAAGAGATCCCATTACCTATGACAATTTCACAGAAGGTTCCAACTGCAGATATGCTTTGTTTTTCAACATAAACTACCTGTCCTATTTTTTGCTCCTTCACACAATTTGGGAGATCCTCACAGCTTCTAAGGCTGAGATATACATTCCTTCTTAGCTGTATTCTACAAAATACAGAAGAGCTCCATGGTCTTTTCCATTATTTGCACATACAACTACATACTGCTTTCCATAATTTACCTCAGCTCAGAGAAAACAGAATCAGAAAACACAGGTGCAAGACCTTTGTCTGACAGCAAACATAGTTTTTGCATCTCCCAAACAGAATATTAGAGTTGTCAATATTTGGTAGATAACAATTCTGTATTGAGTTCCTTTAATTTAAAACAACAAGGACGCAACCCTCACAATAAAATTACGGGCAATCAGGAACCATGAACATGTGTTAGGAAAAAAAAAATTCTACTGACCATCTAGTCAATGGTGTATTTTGCCAAACTGTAGTGTTCTTAAATCGACACTCTGGTTAGAAATGCAGAGAAACAGTTACTATCTGGTTTTAATTCTGCTGTTTGACCAGAAACCCCTACGCTGTCAGATATTCAATAAATGTATTCTAGTAAGTGAGCTTCTTTAAGGAAGTCAATTGTTTATGTTTATTTCAACCCATTATGTAGCTAATAAAGCAATCCCTCTCATGAATTCTCATATAGTCTGCCTAACATTAGCTTTCTCCTCTTCTGCAGGCTAAGCTAAAACCAACAAAAACAAAGCTTTCTTCAGTTAAATATCTGTATTCTCATCTTCCTTTTACGTAAATCACTCAATTTCTGCACTATTCACTAAACCACTTCTCACTTCAACAAGTTTACATTTGTCTAAAACAGAGTTCCACGCAAAAAAAAGGTTTACAGGATGCCACGCAACATCTAACACATATGAAATCATATCTTGCCAAAGTGCATTGATAAGCTTTAACCCAGAAAATAATTGCTCTTTTGAAACAGTAACCATACATGCAACATTCCTGTTAACTACCTCAATGGGCCCAACTTGAGAGTCTATGGAGATCTGTAGTTCTCTGATCTCTTTTAAAGCTGACATGGCTATTCTTATATCATCCAGATCCTTGATGGGGCGATTTAACTTCTTGCCAGTTTCCTCTATAAAAGTGAAAATTGCTTCCATCTCTGTTCGGTACTTCTTATTACAATGACACCCCAGCAAAGTCATCCAGGCTTTGGTTTCTGCTCTCAGTGCTAGCTTCAGATCAGCTAAAAACATTGAACAATGAATAGATATTTAGATATTGCAGATATTTTTAAGATGTATTTTTAATCTTTTTCGGTATGTGTTCTGTTCTCTCCCAAATCTGGTTTTTTAGTCTAACCACCCATGTACAGAGAAGATGAAATCACATTGACAACTTTGTATGGTTTCTAGGATTGCCTGCAAGTCAGGATTGCTTTCCTCGTAATCTTCTCAGAATATACAATCTTTCCTATGGAAAGATGAGGCTGGACACCACACTTGCCATCTTCTTCATGTATCATTATACACATTTCTGTCCTACACATCAGTAATAAATTGGTTAATATTCCAATCTAAGTCTAAAATATTTTCAAAAAATTAATCTTCAAAAAAAAAATTTGGGGGAAAAATTTGGGGTCTGATTATGGAAGCTGAAGAAACAGAAAGTTTTATCTGACATTTAATGAAATCAAACGGTCCATCAACCATTTAACTTTTGTAAGTTTTATCTGAAGCCTCAATGGAACCAAGTGACAACCATTTACAGAGAAAATTGAAGTCTTGCTGAGTTGTTACCCAACTTTGCAACAATCTAGTCCATTTCTCTAAAGCTCTGACATTAAATTCAAGTTTATTCCTTAAATTCAAATTTCTTCCTACCAGTTCTCAACAGAAGAGTCAAATATCAATATGAACACGAACATTACACAAAATTTTATCTGGATATAATTCCAACTCTGTTCCCTATTCATTCCTTGTGCAGATTTCACTTATGTGTCTTCCTTTTTAGACAGTGCCTCTTCCCATGCTTACCGCTCACACCTGATGGTCTTTTTTGATTTATTAAATATTAGAATTACCTCACCTCCACTGAGTTTCAACAGCCAGTTTGTTCTCTAGTATTCTACCTTAAAATACAATCAAAGACATTTAGTTGACACACTTCCCTAATGAAGAAAACATTCTGCTTCTTCAGATTTGACATCCACTGCAAAATCATTTGCATGCATTTCTTACAGTCCCTCTCAGTTCCTAACTGTCCTGCCTGTTACACAAATGTAAAATTCTTATGCAAAATTTAGTTAGCTGATGTGGAACCTGAGCTACAAAAAAGTAAAGATTTATGGCTTGGTTCTCATGGCATGCAGGGGAATCAGCAACAACATGCATGTTTCACTTAACTAAAATAGGCGCCTTTTCAGCTGTCTGATTACATGCAGCCAGGCAAGGAGAAAAGCAACATAAAGTTATCATCTTACTCCCATAAAATATGTACCTACAGGAGTCAGTGACAGGATAGGCAAACATCTACCACCCACAGCATAAGTGAGCAGAAGTATCCAGGTGGGGGAAGAAACACCAGCTGAACCTCACAGACACCTTGGCATTAGTGTTTTGTTCCCATGCATTTACAGCCAAAACAGCAAACAGCCATTCTCTCTTTTTCCTTTCCATCTTTAACCTAGTTCACCCATCCAAAACTAAGCACCACCTCTCCTTCCTGCACAAGTCAGAAAGAATATGTAGAGAAAACTGGAAAGCTGAACTCTACCAGTGTACAGTGCAATAGCTCCCACACAGATGTATTCAGGCTCAGAATTGATTTTCAGCTCCAAGTCTTGGAAATGCAGAATTTCAGATTCAAATTCAGAGAGTAATGGGTTTCCCATCATTAATTTATCAACGGTTTCCTCCTTGTCCCTCTGCCATATATGGTGGTAACAACTAAAACTCTCCAAAGCTGTAAGAATTTCCTGAAACAGATTAGAAGTTCAAAGAAAGATTCTCAGCATTATATGCATAGCATACATACAATTTCTTAGCATCTGCTCATTAGGATACATTAAGAACTCCATAGTGGAGTAGGTTGCATCACCCCACTAAACAGAAGGTTGCTGGTAAATGCATGCTAAAACAAGTTCCACTAGCAATCACAAGGTTTACCAGGAACTGTATGCAGACCACACTCAATCTGACACACTGTCAGATTAGTTACAGTATTCTCCAATTAATATCTCCAATATCAGTCAATAAAATCCCAGGAATCAGTGGGAAGAAAATACTCCTTTAAGCCTAGAATCCAGTACACTTGTCCTTCCCTACCACTTACTGGACTAGCAACTGAAACTTAAGCTCCAGGAACCAGCATAACAAGAACAGCAGTAGCCCAATTCACTCTCAAATAATGAAGTTATGAGACCAATTTTTTTTACATGTATGACATTAACATTAAATTCTACACTCAATTCAGGTATCTTTGATTTGAATACCATTTAAGGATTGTGCAACAGAATTATTTTTCTGGTTCTCGGGAGTTTGGGAAAATGTCAGACAAAGTTAAATCATCACCACTTCAGCTAATTAAACAAGTAAACGAGAGGTGACTGCTAAGAGAGATAATCCACATCATGACTTATGATAAACACGGTGCTTACATTTAAACCTGGCTAAATTATAGAAGTTTCCAATTACAAAATGTTGAGTATCAAAATACCAAGATAACTATCCACCGTTATCAACTGCACCTTAGTCTTCACCACAAGCCCGTATGTCATTCTGTCAGTTATGCTTTAGTACCACTGAAGTTACAAGGCTTTAAGTCAAAAATTTCCACCTGGCAAGGCTCCACTCCCAGGAGGAAGTGATGCAGAGTTCCCCAATGAAATATCAGTTCAATATCTACAGTTTACTAGAGAGTGAATAGAATAAGAAAAAAATAAAGAAATTGTGCATATTCCTCAAGCCATCTCCTAACCTCCAGTAGCAAATCCTACGCAGCACTTCACAAATGCCAAGCTGACAGCCAGTTTTCTTCCAAAAAACTTCATAAACTTTTCATAATGGGCCAGAAGTCATGCTGGCTTTATTAGAATTTCTATGTGAATAAAACGGTATTTAACACACTTGTACAACCACTACCAGTTCTATATTAAATAAACACAACTCAACTATATCTGGAGTTTTTTATGATGTTTTACCACTTGGAAATGTTTTTAATCAGACAAAAGTTTTACTCTATGTAATATTCAAAACCTCGTAACTTTCTGAACAGAGTACACTTAACCCATGTTACATTTTCAAAGCATATTTGCAAATTTGTAGCCATATGTTTTCCATCCACCATCTTACACTTTTTCATTCGTATGTTTAATCACTGCTTTAAATGACCACCCTTATTGCCCAAGGATATTAGAAGTAATACATTAATATCCCATGGATAGTGATATTAAATTAACATCTTAATTGTCTTACCCTTTTTGTAGAATTAATAGCAGTGCTGAGTAAAGATACTAATTTAATGATTTCTTTGTTCTCTGAAACACTCTTGAAGTAGTCCTGGCTTTGCCCCGCATCAGACAAACTGAGTGATGTTGTATCTGACACACTATCTATAAAGGCAGATTCAAATACAAAAGCAGTTTTAGGACACACATATTGTTTAGGCCAAGCAAATTCCTTCAGAGAAAAGCTGACGACCTATTTTGCAATAAGCATGCATTTTAAAGTTAAGTGTTTTATTAATCAAAAAGGCAACCAGAAATCTGGGCAACCAATACAATTGCCACAAATTCATAAGCCTCTCCATTTTAGGAAGCTTACTCCATCTAGGTACTCTGACAAATTTGGAACAAGTTCCATTCCAATCTTTCAAATGTAACCTTTCCTTTTCTCTCACCCTCCCGCAAGGTTTATCCTGTACATCTAAGAGATTTACTGATATGTCAGCATTGAGCAAATCCATATTTTTATGTTCTGAAATAATGTGAGGTAGACCACAAATGACAATTTGAAACACAAATTAACATTAAATCCGAGAAGATTATCATAGCCAGTCCTCAAATGTAAAGAAAGAGCAAAGGAAGGTCCATTACTTAGCATATACCCACAAGACTGAATTTACCATCATTTCTTATTTGATCTCAGGCAAGAAAAATTCTTAGTTTTGAAAGAACAATTTCATTTCTTAATCAGTCCAAGTATTATTTTTCTACTTTTTAGGTGTGTAAGAGGGAGCTAACCTAAAAAGACCCAATATAGTTTTGAAGCACCTGAAGTACGAAGTCGAACAATTAATTTGGTTTGATTCTAAACTGTTTCAGACAAGAAAAACCGAGCAACCAAAGATATCATCTTAAATTTCCTTGAATTAATGCCTTCAATAACTTAATTCCATGTCTGATCACAAAACAGACTAAGTTAAAATCCCATTAGAAATTTCAGTCTATTCAATCCTCTACACAATCCTCTGTCCACCAATACTGCAATTTTCATAAACACATCTATTCAGCACCAGGTTTTGTATAAATTCTGCTTACCCTTCTTAGAGGAATTTCAGCACAAGTCTTAAGATGCCATTTGAACATTATCAAATACAAAACACACTGGCAGATCATGAAATATCTTTTGTATAGCAACAGTTTCACAGAATCACAGAATGTTAGA